GCTGTAGTTTAAGAAGGTGAGGGGAGCCCAGCCCCCAGTGGGGCCTCAACCCCTGGAAGCCTCAGAGCTGCTGGGGCCCACGGTGAATTTCACATAATTACAGATGGGAATGTGCTCGAAGCTCCAGGGAAGGGCCAAGGGAATGTCTCCACATCACTCTGGGCTCTGCCTTCTTTGGAGAGCTGTCTGCGTGCAGCCTTCTCACATACAAAATGCAGGCTGACTCCCCGCCGAGCCGGGACATCGAGTCAGGCCACTAAGCAACCAGCAGCATCCCCAGCACAGTCCCCAGCCCAGAATCAAGCCCCCCGCCACTGCCAAGCTCCAGCTAATCCTCAGAAGCTGCATCGAAGGGACCAGGGATGGAAGGCAGGGTTTTGAAGTTTAGCTTTAGATCCTCTCCGCAGAGCTGCGGGTGGGTGTGTTTTGATCCACCAGGCCGATGTCCAAAAAGACAAAGCAGCGATACCTTCCTTGTGGGGAGGGGGAGACTTGGGTGAGCTTCAGAAGAGCAAGAAGTCGGAAGGGGCAGGGGCTGAGCCCGCACACTCCGTTCTCATGCGCTCCTTCCCCTTGCTTTGCAGGGAACTTCAAAGGCCTGTGCAAGCAGATCGATCACTTCCCAGAGGATGCAGATTACGAAGCTGACACAGCAGAATATTTCCTCCGTGAGTCACACAATTTTTCAATCTCCCTCCAGGTGGTGGTCCTGTGCTTTGAGCCCTCAGAGAGCCAAAGGTCTATCTAGAGGCCCTGGTTACAGCAGAAAGCAAAAAAAAAAAAAAAAAAAAGATCTGCACCTGGCTCCTTTCCAGCTTTTAGGAGGGCAAAGCTTTGTGCATGCTGTTCCCTGTGCCCACACACCCTTCCCTCCCCTTCTTTGTCTGGCAAACTCCTACTCAATAATCTCCAGGTCTCAAGGGAAACACCTCCTTCACTAGGAAGTTCCCCTGGGCCTCTCCCCAGGGGTTCCCAGAGCAAGCACTTTATCAAGCTGTAGGTTCCTTTATGTGAGTAACAAGCCCCCGGTTCCGCAGGAGGAGGGACCCTCCCTTCTTGTCCACCTTTATAGTCTCAGCCCAGTGCAATGCGCACATTAAGAATTCAGTAAATATTTCTTGCATAATTGAATGCGGAAATCAGACCGTGCCAGATTGGAACATCTACAAAAAAAAAAAAAAAAAAAAAGCAAAAGAGAGACATTTTTTTTCTTCCCCCGCAAGTCAAATCAAAGTTAAATCCTGATGTAACAGCTGTGATCTTAAATCCACCTGAGACATATTATCAAGAGAAAGCATTTTGAGGCCCCAAGGGGCCTCCAAAGCTTCAAGCATCAGCTAAAACTAACAAGGCTGCCAACTCCCGGAGAAGGGATTTCCCAGAGAGGAGCTGAGGGTCCTTGAGACCTGGACAGCGGAGCCTGAGGCTCTCACACCAGCTCTGAGGTTTGGTGTCCTCCCCCGGAGTGACCGGCCTCTGCCTCCCAGGCCTGGCCTCCTCCCCTCCCCCACAGCAGAGTGGTGACCTTCCCCCTCGGATCCCTTTTATGAAAAATGCAGGAAGCATTTGATGATGTGGATCGGCCCTGTCTCTTTCAATAATGACTCCTTGCATCAAGCCCAGCTCACAGGTGAGCCAGGAATCGGGTTTCATTGGAACACTGTCAGCCAGGAAGCTGGGGAGAGGGAGGAAGGGAACACCCAGAGAGTTATGGATTTTATTTTTTTAAAGGGGAAAAAGAAAACCTCATACCACACTCGCCACTTCCCTTTCTGAATTCCCTCAAGACAGTATCCTTAAATGGAAGTCTCAAAAGGGCCACTTGGTCATTGTTACCTGTTACACCTCTGGAGCTCTTGCCAAGCCTGATCTTAGCAGAGGAGCCCAGGGGGTGTAGTAAATGTGGATTGAGCACCTGCTGTATGCCAGACCCAGTGCTCAGTGATGAGGAGACGGAGATGGACAAAAAAAGACAGTCCCTGGCCCAGGAAGAGCAGAACCAACAGGGAGGATCCTCAGAAACAGCTCCACTAGGAGACACAGCCTGGCAAAGATGTAGAGGTGACCCAGGGCCAGAGCCACAGTGCTGGACCCAGCCTCACCTGGTGGAGCACAGTACCCTGTGACACCCTATTCACCAGGAAGTACCTTGAGGTAGGAAATTTGTCTCATTCATTACAGCACCTAGAACCAACCCTGGAATCTAGTAGGTGCTCAATAAATGCTTTTAATTAAAAGAAAAATAAAGATACAGGAGTCTTCCATAGCAATTCCGGCCAGCTCTATGCCTCAGTTTCCTTAGTGCTAAAGAGAGAAGAGCTTCGAGCTTGGTTTATCTGGGTATATAGACTGCACTCTCATTAGCCACGTGGGAATCCCAAGGTCCCATTGGACTTAGCCCAACAATACTTCTTGAGCACTTATAACAGGGGTCAGCATACTTTTTTTGTAAAGGACCACACAGCAAACATGTTTGACTTTCCAAGTCACACAGTCACCTCCCCATCACTCAATCACTCAGCTCTGGCAAAAGCAGCCATAGGCAACACAGAAGCAAATGAGCATGGCGTGTTCCAGCTGAACTTTATTTACAACGATGGGCAGCAGCCTGTGTTTGACAGTTTGCTGACACCTGATCTATAATATGCTGGTGTTGGACTAGATGACAAAAATGATTTTTTTGCGGGCGGGTACCAGAGATTGAATCCAGGGGCACTTAACCACTGAGCTGCATCCCCAGCCCTTTTTATTTTTTATTCTAAGACAGGATCTTGCCAAGTTGCTTAGGATTTCGCTAAGTTGCTGAGACTGACTTTGAACTTTCAATCCTGATCCTCCTGCCTCAGCCTCCCAAATAGCTGGGATTACAGGCATGCATCACCGCGCCCAGCAACAATGATTTTTTAAAGCTGAAAGTTCCTATCATTCTCCAAAATTCTAACCTGATTGGCAAGAAAAGAGGGAAGAATGGCATCATTTTTCCAGAACCCCAATCCCGCTGTTTATGCAGACCCTATCCGACCCCCCACTTTGATTTGGAAGCCCGTCTGTGGGCTTCCCCTGCAAGTGACTCCATTCCACATTTGGCTGCAGTATTGCTGGCTCCAGTTCATCACCCCCTAAGACTCTGAGCACAGAGCCCAGCAAGGAACTGGGGCCCAATAAAGCACTTTGTTGCTCAGCAAGGAAGTAAATGTTTGAATGAATAAGTAAGTCAAGGTCAAAAGCCATGCAGGTAACAGGGGCTTCCAGAGGAAGAAGCAGATGGCCCAGAGGTAGGCGGGGTTTCTCCTGAGGTGGGTGGGGTTTGGCACAAGGAGGTGGGTGGGGCTGCTCCTAAAGGTGGGCGGAGCCTGAGTCAGCCCTGTGTTCGGTGTGTCAAACCCAGGGGCACAGTACACCTGCCCTGCCGGAGGCCGTGAAAGGGACAGAAGCAGCCACTGCCCCTGAGCCATAACCTTCTGGAAACAGATCCTTGGATCTAATTGTTTCACACAGGAATTAGAGGGAGCCTGCCCCCCAGCTCTCTCGGAAGAGGTCTTTCTAAAAGGGCTCTCTAAAAAGATGTCACCAGAGCTGAGAGTTAGACCCCAAAAGATTCACTCATTTATTCACCCACTCACAAGGTATTCAGCAAGCAGTTACTATGTGCTGACACCATTGTCAGTACTGGGGATTCCAGGGTAAACCAAAAAAGCAAGCTGGTGCCTCCCGGAATGTTGCATTCCCAAGGCGGAGACACAGTAGGCGAAGTGCAGGCACAGCTCCCCCAAGGTGGCTCACCTAGACAAGGTGGCCAAGACTGCTTCCCTGAATAAAGAAAGAGGGCAAGGTAAAAGGACTTTGGGGAAGGAGTGCTGGAGGAAGGCAGGGGCAGAGGCCTTAGAGAGGAGCCATGCACCCCATCTGCGGCCAGAGAGGAGCCAGGCTGGTCAGAGCACAGCCCAGGCACTCGAGGGCCTGGGGACAAAATCAGACCCCCTTCTAGGTGTTGATGTAGCAAGCGCAGCCTGGCCGCCCTGGAGGAGGGGGTGATGAGAGCAACTGAACCCTCAGGGAGGCTGGGGTGCTGTTCAGTGGTCCGAGCAAGAGGCAAAGGTGGCGTGGACCAGACGCTGGCCATGGCAATGGTGAGCCCAGGCAAAGCTGGCCGGAGCGGGGATGGCCACCAGTCAGGGTAGGTGGTAGGCAAGGAACTGCTGGCAGAGGGCAGTGCACTGGGTTCCAGAGGACAGTAGAGGACTGGGAGGAGGACAGGGGCCAGGAAGGCAGGGACCCAGTACAGTGGAAAGGATTTCAACCGAGAGACCCTGTCTGCCCACAGCTCCACCTTTGACCTTCCGTGAGCAGCCTGCCTCTGACTCAGACGGGCTGCAGGCTGGTGGGTGGGCTCAGAAAGGCCGCTAGAGCTCCTGCTGCTACCAAGGTCAAGGATGACCTTCAGTGTGATCTGCAAAAATTCCAACCCCCGTGCCCTGGGGGCTATCACCCTCTGAAATGGCCCAAGGCCTGAGGTGTGCAGGCATGGGACATTAGGCCTTGCCAAATGTGCTGTGGCTCCTAGGACCCCTTGGCTCCTTGGGGCCCAGCGTCCTGGTGCTGGAGAGGGAGAGGGAAGTCTAAATAGAGTGAGCCCAGCCCTGAGCTGCTGCCCCTGCACCTCTCTGAACCTATCTCCCTGACTGGAAAAAGTGGGACATCACCCACCAAACAGGATCTGCATACCCGCTCCTCCCGCCCCTGCCCACTGTGTCTGACCTCAAGTTTGAAAGTCCACTATAAGCAGAATATATATAGTTTTAAAAACAAAATTGTGATTTTCCCAGGAATTCCCAGGCCTATGTTCTTTCATTCACCCGCCACATGCTCACTGATCCCGCACCATGCATCAGGCACTGTTCTAGATGCCCAGGATTGAGAAGCCACAAAGTAGATCAAGTACACGCTCAAATGCAAGGAGACAGAAAATAAATAAATCAGCAAACATAAAACCTCTCAGGTGGTGCTAAATGCTCTGGTGAGATGGAGCAGGGGCAGAGAGGGCCGGTGGGACAGCCAGAGAGAAATCTCGAAAGACATGACATTCATTCCCCCCAAGATGTTGAATTCTGTGGCTGTGCACAAAGGTGTGGGTTTCATGATAGGGAGGAGCCACCAGGCCACCTTCTGTCTCCCCAAAGAGCCGGGTTCAGTCCGTGCACAGCTTCCGAGGGAAGTCGGGCCCATTTCCCACGTTCCCCAATGTCTCCGGAGCTTCTCCTCCCAGAGAAGCAGAGGTGTAACATGCCTGTGGCCCCCGTTGCTGGCCTCCGGGTGGTCCCAAGCTCTGTTAAAAGAAAAAAAAATGGACAAAACAAATGGATCAGGCCAAGTCAGGCCAGGAGTGCAGACCCAGGGCCCTTCAACTTCTGATGAAGTCTGGCGTCTGTGAAGGGCACAGCCTCTTCCTGCCCTAGCACTTTCATCATGGAGTGGCCTCCTGCATGTCAGGCCCTCTTCTGGCTGAGGACAATAACAAAGCCTGTCCTCCAGACATGTCAGTCTACAACAAATGAAATGACCAAGTTCATCATATAGTACGTTAGACTGTGAGGAGTGACCGTCGAGAGTCAGGCAGGAGAGGTGTGCAGAATTCTGCGTGGAAGTGGGGTCGAGAAAGTTTGAAGGTAGCGCTCTTGGGGGGGGGGGCGGAATGTTCCAGGCAGAAGAAACAAGGGAGCAGATGCAGGCCTGAAATGCTTGAGGGACAGGACCAAGGGAGGCCCTAAGACAAGAGTGAAGTGAGCGAGCCTTTCCCAGGTGTTAGCAGGAAGAAGAGCAAGTGCAGAGAGGCCCTGGGGCCCCCGCAGGCTGTAACAAAGAAGTAGAGGTTCCTCCGAGGAGGGACCCATCTCACTTGAGCAGGGCGCTGGTTGCTGCATTCAGAAGAGACTGCAATAGGATGAAGGTAGAAGCAGACAGGAGCCTGCTGTGGCCATAACCCAGACGAGACCCTGAAAGGGTGGACCCAGGTGGCAGCAGTGACGGATGGCAGGGGACAGATGCTGGAAGCCCTGTGGGGGGCCTGTGATCAGGACTTCCAGAAGCCTGGTGTGGGCCAAGGGCGAGGGCAGAGTCAAGGATGACTCCCAGGAAAGTGCCCTTGGGTGCCTCAGGTGGAGACTGGAGCCGTGTTCCAGCCACCTCAAGGGAGAGGGGCCTGGAGACAGTCCAGGGAGGCGTCAGGCCCTCAGGGCAGGCTGCATCTGAGGCTCACAGGGCAGATCCCAGCCAGAGATCTGGACTTACAAGTTGTCAGCACACAGGTGCCATTTAAAGCCAGAGATGCCACAGACCCACCAAGGGAGTGTCACCGGAGAACAGAGGAGGCCACACACTGAGCCCCAGGATGCCAAGACTTAGAGGCCAGGAAGAGGAGGAGGCCAAGCAGGCATACCCATGCGTGCGGTGTCCTGATGACCTTGCCCTCCTTGTTTCCCCAGTGGGACTGGGGAGGTGGGGCAGATGGCAGGAAAGAGAACCAGGAGGGCACCCGGGGTGGCAAAGAAAGGGGGGCTCACTTGCTCTCGAGCCTCAGGCACTGCATGGTGCGTCCTGGAGGACCTGGAAGGAAGGTCCCCAGCTTGTATCCCATGGATGAGGGAAGGCGTGAGCTCCCCTCCTCCCCCAATGCCGGAGTCCCACGCAGGGTCCTAGGGCAGGGAGAACAGCCACAGCATCCCCTGGTCACCACCCTGAGGCCCCAAGACTGGAGCCCAACAAAGGTGTGGCTGGTGGGGTCTCCATCTACTGCTGCCCACCTAGAAAGGGATGGTGACCACACCTTGTCCCCTCCCAGGGCTGTGCCTGTCACGGCCCTTCCCTCATTCACCAAGGCTTAAGGAGCAGAGACAGTGGGGACCAGGAGCACCTTCATGCCAGCATGCGTGTCTCTGAGGAGTCTGTGCTGCTCTGCTTTCTGTCCCTGCCTGTCCATGTGTCTGTCCGCCCCAGGTGTGTTTTCACGTGTCGGCGCGTGTGTACGTAGGTTGCCGTATGTCGCATGTGGTTTTTGCCCAGGAGATGGGAGTTGTCCTAATGTGATTTGGAGTCGGGGGGGAAGGTTCAGAGGAATTCCATTCCTTTCCACAGCCATATATTAAGCATCTACTGTATGCTAGACCCCCAAATCCACTGCCTTGTGGCCATTTGTGTTGATCAACTTTCCATCTCTGTGACAAAGTGCCTGAGAAACTCACCTCAAAGGAGGAAAGATGTATTTTGGCTCATGATGTAAAAGCTTCAGGCCGTGGTCGCTGGCCCCATCACTATGGGCTGGGGGTGGGGCAGGGCATCGTGGCAGGGACCATGTGGGAGAGTAAAACTCTCACCTCAGGGCAGCTGGGCAGCCAGGGAGAGTGGGGATAAATACACCCCTCCAAGCACAGGCCCAGTGACTGCCTCTTCCCTGCAGGCTCCCCCTCCCAATGCCGCCACCAACTAGAGACCAGACTTCAGCACTTGACCCTGGGGACACTCCAGGTCCAAACCATGCACAGTGCAGAGGGCAGGGTGGGCTTGGCCTCCACCCCACCGCCTTCAGAGCCTGGAGCTCCAGGGTTGGTAGGGGCCGTACTTCCTCCCAAGGGACCACACAGAGAGCCACCACACAGGCCTGTTCTGCAGGTCACACACTTGGGTCACATTTTCTCCAGAAAAAGAAGTGAACAGATGGCAGGAGGGAGGGAGGACACAGCCTATCCCCCAGCCCACCCCAGGCCCCCAGGAGGGAGACCCTGATTACCCTGGAGCCACCCCTTCTCAGGGACTCACAGACCAACTGGCAACAAGGACAGGCGACCAACGCAACAGGTGTTCCCTGGGGAAGCCACAGAGACCTGTGAGGGAGAGAGGTCGTGGCCGGCTGCCACCTGTCTGGGGGCTCCTGGGGTGGACCCACAGAACCTAGCCACCCGTCAGAGACTGGAGGACGTGATGGGGGGCTTGGCACCCCTGCAGGGACTCGGATCCAGCCCCACCACCTCCTAGTTAAGGCCCTGGCCTCTGTGTGCTCCCAGGGAGGCAGCAATCAGGTTCTCCTCCCAGGTCACAGGTCGAGGGGACCAGCTCTCAGCAGGCGTCACCATTGTCCTCACCTGGTGCTGCGTGTGAAACAGCAAGGAGCCCGCGGGGCGAGGAGCAGGCGGGAAAGGACAGGGGCACCAGGATGGGGGCAGCCAGGTCCTCCCGGCAAAAGTGTCAGAGACCCGTCGGGGCGAGGGGCAGAGGGCAGGGCATTGCAGGTGGGGGACAGTAGTGTGAGGTGTGGCAGGCTGGGGACAGCCAGGGGCCTGGTCTCCCTGAGGTAGGAAGTCCCCACAGGGTTCTGAGCAGAGGACAGATGGGGTCTGACATCCAGGCTAGCAGTGTCACTCTGGCATCTGCTGGAGACCTGACCCCAGGGCCTGGGCAGCAGGGAGCCCAGTCCAGAGACTGATTTGAGAAGGGGCCAGATTTGGGATGCTCTGACGGTGCAGCAGCAGGATTCACTCACAGCCTAGGGGGGTGCAAGAGAAAGAGATCCCTGGGGTGTCCAGAAGTTGGCTGGGAGGATGGAGGACCGTGCTGTCCCTCTCTGAGTCCAGGAATGTAGGGCAAGGCTGGATAGGCGGGAGGTGACCGCTCTGTAGCCCTGTTTTATCTTGGTTTCTGTTATGGATTCTTCTCCCCACTGGACCGTGAACAGCTCGAGGACAGTCTACAAATAGAGTGTCCTCCCCCAACCCCAGCCAGGGCAGAGCTGTCCCCAGCTCAGGCCAGGGAGTTGGCTGGGAGAACACACTAGGTGCTGCCCTCCCGGGCCACCCAGCGGGTTCCCCTCCCTCTCAGAACCAGGGCAGCAGCGAATACCACGTCCCAGTGAGGAGGCGTCCTCTGCGCTGGTGCAGCCACAGAACAGAGCAGAACATGCCCCAGAAGGCGCCGCCTCCTGCCCTCCCGGCCTCAGGTGCTGGCCCGGCCATCTGTTTACCGCTGGCTGGTCGCTGCCACTCCGCTGGGTTCAGGGACGAGTGGAAACGTGTCCTTGAAGACACACCAACCTCGGCCCAAAGCCAGCGGAAACAGCGACACCAAGCTCTGCTGTCCTGATAAGGGACACCTCCTGGGCTCCTCAGGGGCCAGGCCCATCCTAGCGGCTCAGCTGTTAACTGTCCCTCCCCACAGGAGGCCAGGAGCTGGCCGCGCTCATGACTTCCAAACAGCAGAGGGGAAACTGAGGCACAGGGACCAGGCAGCACGGCTGGGAAGGGCGCTCGGGTGGCTCCCTCCGGAGCCCGTCACCGCAGACAGCAGGGAACAGCGAGCATTGGGCACCCTGCACGGCTGGCGCTCCCAAAGCACTTTCCATAGGCAGCAGCAGAGCCACAAAGGCGGGCGGGCCCTTGACCTGCACCCAGCCCCGTGCCTGAGACACCATCTGACTTCACCCTCACCACTGCCCCCTGAGGTTCGGATGGCCTGTGTTCCCCTTATGCAGATGGGAAAGGTGAGGCACAGAGGCCACACAGTCAGTGGGGGGCCAGGACCCCAGCCTAGCAGTCCATCTCCGAGCCCAGGATCCTGGCAGTCACCTCAGTCTTCCTTTTGGTTTTTGTGGTGCTGGGGATGGAACCCAGGGCCTCGCGCACACGAACTCAGCCCTCTCCCAGGAGCCCTGTCCGGTCCCTGAGGACCGCCTCCCTCTCTCCCTCTCTCCCTCCCCCTCCTCTCCTTTCTTTTCCTTCCCTCTCCCT